TTGTGTGTGTGTGTGTGTGTGTGTGTGCGTACGTGCGTGTGTGTGTGTGTGTGTGTGTTTGTGTGTGTGTGTGCGTGTGTGTGTGTGTGTGTGTGTGTGTGTGTGTGTGTGTGTGTGTGTGTGTGTGTGTGTGTGTGTGTACTCACCTACACGTGCTTACAGGGGTTGAGCTAGGTTCCCAGCCCCGTCTTCTGCACGATCTTAGATGATTGCAATGACTCACTTCTCACGCTTTTCTTGTATTTATGTTGGAAATCTTGAGTGGAATTAGCTTCAAGGACTTCCGCAACTAACCTATTCCATTTATTGACAGTTCTAACACTGAAAAAGTTCTTCCTGATGTATCCTGAGAGAGAGAGAGAGAGAGAGAGAGAGAGAGAGAGAGAGAGAGAGAGAGAGAGAGAGAGAGAGAGAGAGAGAGAGAGAGAGAGAGAGAGAGATATCCTTGGGATGGTCAGTAGTTAAATACTCACACGCACTCACTCACTTTCTCTTCTCTTTCTCACACACTCACACACACACACACACACACACACACACACACACACACACACACACACACACACACACACACACACACACACACACACACACTTTTAAACTAAACTATAACAAGAATGTGAGAACAGAGTCACGGCATTAATCAAAAAACTTTCAAAAGATTAGGTCAGGGAATACGTAGCTTTCCCCTACAGGCACATGTAGGTGAGCCCATCTATATAAGCACATCTAGATGAACTCACACACACACACACACTCAACACCCCCCCTCCCCCCCACCCCCCACCAGACGGAAGGCATAATAATAGGTAATCAAAAGGAACCTCAACTCTGAGGAGTTTTGTTGTTCAACAGTCAAAGGGAAACAAAAGGTGTCAACGGCTTTGATCTACAATTTCTCATTAAACAAAAAGGACTCACTCAAGAATTCGAGAACACAGAACTGTTATTGCTCTCCTTCAGAGGGGTTAGAGAAGAATACGAGGAGTTAATGTGATGGTTATTGGGAATGTTCATCCATGCAAGTGTGTGTGTGTGAAATCTATGTGTGTGTGTGTGTGTGTTAATCTAAGTGTGTGTGTGTGTGTGTGTGTTAATCTAAGTGTGTGTGTGTGTGTGTGTTAATCTAAGTGTGTGTGTGTGTGTGTGTTAATCTAAGTGTGTGTGTGTGTGTGTGTGTGTGAAATCTATGTGTGTGTGTGTGTGTGTTAATCTAAGTGTGTGTGTGTGTGTGTGTGTGTTAATCTAAGTGTGTGTGTGTGTGTGTGTAATCTAAGTGTGTGTGTGTGTGTGAAAACAGAATATATCTCACACAGAGATCACACTAACGTGATGCATCAATTGAACAAATCCACATCCAAATCCTCGTCACGGCCCTTGTGGATTTGTTCATAGGATATATCTGTTTATCCAAGATTGGAGGCCAGGCACCTTGGGGGTTAGCCTCACAAAAAAAACATTTTAAGACGACACATGGGTGGTAGAGGACTGGCATAGGCAGGTCGGGGGTCAGCCCAGTTGCCTCTCTTTAAGAATATTTAGTGTCTATTGCGGCTCCTGGGGGGGGGGGGGACATGGCGCATATTAACAACTTAAAACCGGTTTTAGTACCTGCAGCAAACCATTCTCCTGTTTAAACAATAGTTTGTGTAACTCTGTGCACTATAGCATAAACATTGACGTACTAAGCAATTAAACAGTAGACTTTAGTACTACTCACTTTATAGTCCCCCCCAAAAATGAAGCTAAGAAGCAAATTTCAATATTTCTAGGTCTAGTATAGTACACATATGTACTATATTAGGCCTCAGATAGCGTGTATTAGGCCGAGGAAGGTTAGGTTAGGTTAGTTTGTCTCTGTAACATCAATAGACAATCTTTTTCCGGTTTGTCCAAACTCAACAGTACCGATTTCTACTTTCTAACTGTCGGTATATGTACTATGGTCCTCCTCGTTACTATAAATACTACCAAAAAACAGGAGGACGGGCTGTATACCTGTCAAGGTTGAAATTCCCGCCCCCTAAAAATAGTTATGCAATGATGGTGTGCCGTTAGATTGGACTGAGTGGTCCAAAGATGGACCGGATGGAGTGGTCCAGAGGTGGACCGGATGAAGTGGTCCAGAACTCTATAACGGTGTACCGACACACGGATCCTCAAAGCCATCCATCCCCCTCTCACAGCGCCGTGTAAAACAAAGTCATCTTTATCAGTGTGATAAGATAAGGACGGAATATTATCTGGTTGAAGGTGCGCCTTGTTGCCTGCCCTTACTGACAACCCTTCCACGGCGCTGACATTGGTGTGTCAGGCAGCTGACACTCCATCCTGGTAGTGTTGTTGGTGTGTCAGGCTGGTATACACAAGTATACCACATTTATTCCTTGTATATACCTTGTACACCACATATGTAAGATCAATCCTGGAGTATGCGGCCCCAGCATGGAGCCCGTACCTTGTCAAGCACAAGACAAAGCTGGAATACGTTCGGAGGTATGCCACTAGGCTAGTCCCAGAACTAAGAGGCATGAGTTACGAGGAAAGGCGGCGGGAAATGCACCTTACGACACTGAAAGACAGAAGAGTAGGGGGAGACGTGATCACTACCTACAAAATTCTTAGAGGAATTGACAGGATAGATAAGGATAAATTGTTTAACACGGGTGGTACGCGAACAAGGGGACACAGGTGGAAACTGAGTACCCAAATGAGCCACAGGGACGTTAGAAAGAACTTTTTCAGTGTCAAGAGTAGTTAGTAAATGGAATGCATTAGGCAGTGATGTGGTGGATTCTGACTCCATACACAGTTTCAAATGTAGATATGATAGAGCCCAGTAGGCTCAGGAATCTGTACACCAGTTGATTGACAGTTGAGAGGCGGGACCAAAGAGCCAGAGCTCAACCCCCGCAAGCACAACTAGTTGAGTACAAGTAAAGAGCGGCTAGAGGTGTGTCACCGCCGCTGCTCTAACACATGGACGCAAAAGCTACGAAAATTAACTCAATGAAGTGAACCTTACGTCACTGGAGAAGCAGGGGACACATGATCGCGACATACAAGATACACGGTAGACAGTCTTAGTGTAATGAGAGGGGCAATGAACAGTGGAGCGAAGCGGTGGATGTGGACTCTTATTGTAGCTTAAAAATATGTATGTACTGCGACTCCATATCCAGGAACAAGCTCACCGCTGGATTAAAAGATTGAAAGGCGGTGCCCATGTGCTTAAGCTCAACCCCCGCAAACACATGGCGTAGTGTAAAGACATCTTTAACGTTATGACGTTGTTTCACCGTAACAATAGCCCAAAATAACGTTATCTTGAGATCTTGAGATGATTTCGGGGCTTTAGTGTCCCCGCGGCCCGGTCCTCGACCAGGCCTCCACCCCCAGGAAGCAGCCTGTGACAGCTGACTAACACCCAAGTACCTATTTTACTGCTAGGTAACAGGGGCATAGGGTGAAAGAAACTCTGCCCATTGTTTCTCGCCGGCGCCTGGGATCGAACCCGGAATCACAGGATCACACGTCCAGTGTGCTGTCCGCTCGGCCGTAGTTACGTTCATTGCTGGATTTGTTTCGTCTTAACTTAGACTTGTTTAGGACTTAACAAGCAGTAGACTCACGACTCCAGTTAAGTAGCGGGTACAGAAGGCAGTGATTAGGGCCTACAGTGAACCCTGGCGGGAATTGTGCTTATATCAGGATAGTCACAGTCCCTGGCTAGTTGTTCCCCCCTAATGACTGTGACATTGTAGTTCACTATAACTGTGTACCAGGTGTCGTGCAGTGCGGTCAAATAGTACACAACAATGTGCCCCCTCAACGCTGGACTCAAACAGAAAACGGGACAGTACGTCACTTTCGTGAGCCGATTTCATTTCCAATTACGTCCATTTTTTGGCCATAGCGCGCCATAAGGGCGAAAAGCAACGTTATTTTTAAGAGAACCGGTTGCTCGTTAACCGATCGTCCCAACCGCGTATGTCGTAAGTCTACGATGTACGAGCTCACGTCGCATCCCGTTCTTACGATCTGATTTAAGGGTTGACTTAAATAGAAGCGTATGGGCCTAACAGGCCGAGATACATAGCTATTCAAACCAATGATAATTAGACCATGGGAGTGCCAATATGGCCGTGTTTTTTAATTTCATTTAAAACACCGTGTTCCTAACGATAGCTCTGATACATCCAATTTGTGATACATCAATTAAGGGTCGTTTGTCTTAATGGGTGTCTGGTGATATAGTAATTACAGATAACTGTGATTCTTTTGCGGGCGGGGGGGGGGGGAGGTACAACAGTTCATTTTTATACGTTCGATGGAACGTTCCTTTAAGCATTGCCGTTCGTGGGGGATGGGTTGAACATGGCCGTTCGTGTATACAGTGTTCAACAGAACATACACAGTTTCGTCTGCCCTACGTTGCGTGTATATATATAGAGAGAGTTGTTACAGTACAGAGTAAAGCTGTTGAACACTCGACAACATTATGTGATTGAAGTGCCTTGTTCTTGAACCGCAGTGCTGGTGGGTACCTTCCACCCCCCCCCCCCTCTCTCTCTCTCTCTCTCTCTCTCTCTCTCTCTCTCTCTCTCTCTCTCTCTCTCTCTCAATCTCAGAGCCATGCAATGTTTATAAATGCACCATCTACAATATATATATATATATATGATTTATACACACACACACACACACACCCCCACACCCACACACACACACACACACACACACACACACACACACACACACACACACACACACCACACACACACACACACACACACACACACACACACACACACACACACACACACACACACACACACACATATATATCCGTTCATATCTTGTATGACTGAACATAATTTAATGAACCCTATTAAGCAAAGTTGTACCTTAATGTTTGGCAATAAAGATATTAATAACACTAACAATACTAACAACAACAATAACAATAACAATACTAATAAAGATATGTTCGTCTTCAGAGTCGGCCGAGAGACTGGGCTTCGGGTACCAGGTCTTGCCCCCGACGGAGACGGTGACGGTCATAGGGGCGAAACTCCTGCTGCCCTGCCAACCCGCCACCACCACTACGGCACCCGCACCCAACGTCACCTGGATTAATAAAGGACGTCTAGTTAACGAACCGCGTCGTTACGTCCTCCCAAATGGCACCTTAGTCATCCACCAGGTACGTCGTTACGTTCCTTATCCATAAAACGCAATGTAAATTGATTTGATGGGTTGCTTGCCCGGGGTTATTCATGCCCGTGCTTTACACAGCACTAACTGGCTATGATGAGTTACAGGTCTGTTTCTTCAGTGTTGTTAATGCCTCATGCATGAGTAAGACTCATCAGTTGGTGCACTGTATCTCATTATGAGGAGGGTTGTGAGGAAAGGCAGTGAGGAATGAGTATTAGGGGGATAGGCAGAGAAATGAGTATTAGGGTCGATAGGCAGTGAGGAATGAGTATTTGGGGGATAGGCAGAGAAATGAGCATTAGGAGATAGGCAGTGAGGAATGAGTATTAGGGTCGATAGGCAGAGACGAATGATTATTATGAGGATAGTCAGGAAGGAGTATTATTAGGATAGGCAGAAAAGGAATAGTATTGTGAGGATAGGCAGAAAAGGAATAGTATTGTGAGGATAGGCAGTATTAGAAGAATGAATATTAGGAAGATAAGGAATGAGTGTTCGAGGATAGGCAGTGATTAATGAGTATTATGAGGAAGGGAAATGAGGGGACAGTCCCGGTATATGGAGAGAAAGGGGGGGGTTAGATACAGCCGGTGGGAGTGGCGTCCCTGTGCCTTGGCGAAGAGAATATCAGGCACTCTTAACGCACCGTGTACCTTCAGGTGATGATCGAGGACCGGGGCTTGTACCAGTGCGTCCTTCGTCGTGGGTCCCTGGCCGCCATCTCCTCCCCTCTCACCCTCTCCCTAGCAGGTGAGTGTTTCCGTGTAATTAAAAACGTCCAGGTATAAACACTGTTTGTGCATCTGTTGAGGCCTGAGTTATACCTATGAACAGGTGGGATTCCCTGAGGAACAGGTGGGACATGTGTGAGGTCTCCCTGATAGGTAGGACAGGTTGAAGTCTCCCTGATAGGTAGGACATGTGTGAAGTTTCCCTGACAGATAGGACAGGTTGAAGTCTCCCTGACAGGTAGGACAGGTTGATGTCTACCTGACAGGCAGGACAGGTTGAAGTCTCCCTGACAGGTAGGACAGGTTGACGTCTCCCTGACAGGTAGGACAGGTTGACGTCTCCCTGACAGGTAGGACAGGTTGACGTCTCCCTGACAGGCAGGACAGGTTGACATCTACGTCCCACTGACAGATCCCATTGCTCCGGTAGTTTACACAGGACACAGCAACTCGCCCTGTACCGCTCAGCCAAGAGTTGCGTGAGTGCGCTCAGGAAGCAGGGGCCAGATTCACGAAAGCACTTACGCAAGCACTTACGAACGTGTACATCTTTTCTCAATATTTGGCGGCTTTGATTACAATTATTAAACAGTTAATGAGCTCCGAAGCACCAGGAGGCTGTTTATAACAATAACAACAGTTGATTGGCAAGTTTTCATGCTTGTAAATTGATTAATAAAGGTAAACAAAGCCGTCAAAGATTGAGGAAAGATGTACACGTTCGTAAGTACTTGCGTAACTGCTTCGTGAATCTGGCCCCTGGTATATTAGAGAGAGAAGAGAGAGGAGCCGAGTGACACAAATGATGGTCTAAGGTTCGGGGCTCATCCCCCCCACATCTCTCTGGTACATCTGCAATTATCTTGTTTGTTGGGTTAAATGATTGTAATGTTTGATGCCAGGTTGCAACGGCTGTTACCACTTAGACAAATACGATAATTATCTGCGTTTTACACTGGCAGAAGCTAGATACAGCGGCGGTGTGGCTTCTGGCAGAGTCCGTGTTCGATCCTCGATGGTTCCAAGGGGTTAGAGATTATTCCTTCCCAGTGTCCTCTCCCTGCTCCTAATTCTCATATCCCTATGTGGCCCAAAGGTGCCAAAGTAGTGCCATGTGGCCCAAAGGTGCCACATACGTCAACACGTTCTGATGGGTGTAGTTTTGAAACCTCTCCTACTTTTATTATCCATGTTTCCATGGTGTTTCATAGACGATTTAATCTCTGCCGATAACGGCAAAGATTACTGTGTAATTACTGTTTTACTGTGTAATTTGTTACACACAGAGATCACACTAACGTGATGCATCAAATGAACAAATCCACAAGGGCGATTACCCTGTCGTAGCTCAGTCGATTAAGGCAGTGTCTGGGATGCTCCCGGACGCAGGTTCGAATCCTCGTCACGGCCCTTGTGGATTTGTGTAATTTGTTGGTTTTTCTCTCTTGATTTTTCTGTATACGAAAAAAATGGCAGTATTTTGTTTGTTTTCTCTATCTCAGTGATTATTTGTTAGATTTAAAAGATAAGGATAGTTTTATGTATGCGAATGTGTGGAAGATTGTGGGATTTTAATGAAATATTATTTTAATAAAAATACTCAAGAAAGGGGGTATTTTCAGTCACTTTGGATCATCAGATAATCCAACTTAGTACTCAGGTAAATGTAGTGGCATTACCATCGATATTGTGCAGTGCATCTTGAAGGTAGATAATATCAGGGGTAAGTTTTTTTTATACTTAACTTAGTTATCTTTATGTATCTTTATGACTAACCACTGCAACTGCTACCTACTGCTGTTGGCATCAATTAATCAGTAAGGGACATTGGAGTGCATATTGGAGGATCACCTTAAAATCGTCTAATACACGGAGAGGGTTTCAACGTCACCTTTATTTGGGGAAACGGCTCCTATCTGACTTATTTGTTTCTGAATATACACACCCTGTCGAGCCGCCGTGACTCCCCAACACTCTCCTTGTTTTGAGATGATTTCCTAATTCCCCTTCATGATATTACTGTCCGCTTTCAACCACTCTACAACCGTTTCTCTCTCTTTTTTCCTAGAAATCCTCACTAGGACAAGAGCAAAAACAAGTTGTCTACACACTTCTATTACATGAAAATACATAGAGATAAAAAAAATAGGATTTTAGGAAAAAAATAGGATATAGGAAAAAATATATGTCATAGGATTCTACAAACCAGCAACCCATTTATATAATATTAGTTCTTCACCAAAGCCCAGTAGTTCTAGGCTACTGCTTAATTCTCGGCTCATAGCCTCTTGCCCCCTCACTGTACGTGGCTGGGTAACTTGCACATAAAAATATCTGCAACAAAGAATATAATAACCATCTCACTCATGTCATGTGCATTCAAGCACTCCCTCAAACATCATGGTGTCCATATAATTCTCTGTTCTGCTTCCTCAGGCTCTCCACTAAGAACATGTCTTTAGGTCCTCAAGTATCAGGTAGGTACGCCTGTAGTCTCTTCAATATTTGCTGCTACTTGAAGGTCCACTCAAAGCCTGTGAAGTTCCTCTATGCGGCTTCACCAGAGAAACGTATAGCTCCACTACACTCGAAGTTCCACTCTATACTTGAAGTTCTACTCCATATAATCTTCACCAGTCACGAAGCTCCTTCACGAAATTCTCCCCACACAAACCTGTAATTCCAGTTCCATACCATAATAACGTGCTTTCTTAATAGAATATAAACAACATATATTTACACATATATTCCTCCTTCCAACATTCCCTTCTGCACGTCGGCCCTGCCGTGGTGGGTACTCCCCCATTTTTGGACGAGTCCACACTGAATTTCTCCTCTGACGGGGCGTCCTAGGGTTCCGTCCCCTCAGTCCTTCATTGACCTCTGGCGAGTGAGTTTGTCGCTCTTGGCTCCATCATGTCCAATCGTCTCAATCTCGGTATATACTCTCACTATCTTCATAAAATCAGTAATCTATATCCACTAACGTTCTCAACGATCGCTGGGCACACGATCAAGCAATCATTCATATAATTAAGTGCGTTTACCACAGAGAGGATGAGACAATGACACTTGGCACTCCAAAATGGCGCTACTCTTAGTCGTCCACCAATTCTCTTGAACTGTCTCTAAATGCTTCTCACAGTCCCGACTTGAGTATACAATGTCGTCGGCCAGGCTCCACACAGGAAAACCTGCTCAATTTCATCCTCTCAAAAGGATATCAACTATCGGATATTGACCACCAACTAGTGATCGTGGCTGAAGTACTACTTCAGACCGCCCCTAATATCGTTCAAGATCACAGAGAAATGATGTTCGCCGTCCTCGGCAGCTTCCTCACACTTAGTACAAGTAGCCTTTACTCAAACACTTAACCGAGAACTATAATCTTCTTTCTTCCCAGGAGGGAAGAGTGACCCTTTATGACCTCCATAATGTCGACATCTTCCACAAGATGCTTGCCCTCTCTTCAGTCATACTTTACTGACGTTTGCTTAATTACTTCCTTCTCCTGACTCCTTCCTCCTGCCACGTGGGTAGAATAACTCTCACAAGGTAGACTAACCTCATGAGGCTACCTGGGGTTCATAACAATAGTTAAATACATTAAGTCACGAGCATTCTCTCTCTCTCTCTCTCTCTTACACACATAAGAATACCAGCATCCGGCGGGCCTAACACACACATCCTCGAGTAATATCATATTTCAGGCCCACTTCGACGTGTTTACAAGGCCTGCGCGCATGTTATGTAATCTAAAATCTTCAAGACTAACTGCATTGATTAACGTTCGTCAGTTCTACCCAAGCTGAGGCACAGTATCAACCACACCCTTACAGACACAGTATACATACACCAACACAACATACACCAACCACACCTGCTAACGACGCAATGCCAGCCAGTAATGCCCCCATCCTAATGTCCTGTCTTCAGCCTGTCACATGAGCCTGACAAGAGGACCCCGCTCCCACCACACCTCATCACTTGCCCCTACAACACTGGCCTACAGAAGTACTGATGAGGAGCTGCTCACAACTCAGTGTTGCGAGTGAGCTGCTCATGCCTGGCAGGGTCGGATGGAGGGAGGAGTCCGTTATGCAGTTAATGCAAGCCATGCTAAGCTAGTGTACCTGTTGCGTTTCTAGAGTTTCAAAGGGACAGCGAGGGGAGGGAGAGATATAAGATTGAAATGAAGCGGCCTAAAGATATAAAAGCAAACATATTGAAAATATTTATGGCATTAGAGGTTATTGAAGGCCTGAAGGTAAAACTTGACAGGAGTGACAAACTCCGTATTGGAACCTTGAACCAAGTAGAAGAATTGAAGGAAATATATTACAAAAGGGAGGCAAATGGGAATAGGTTACAGAACAGAATAAAAATGGTGCAAGAGGAAGGGAAGGCAACAAAGAATGTAAGATAACACATTCTTGCAATAATAAAGAATTAGACAAATAGAGAATGTAACCGAGATTTGGGGAGTAAGACCAGGCAAAACCTGAAGCAACAAAGGGTTCAGAAGGAAAGATAAGATAATTAGGGAAATAGTGTTGGAAGCTGAAAAACGAGCCAAGTCACGAAATGTACAAGACAGGATTTGGAAAGGGAGAGATTAGTGATAATAAGCAACCTACAACACCCTGAGGGGAACACATGGGAAATAAGAAGGGAGAGAGAACAAATGAAATAACATAAATTCTGCACAGGGCGGAGATGCAACAAGGGAACTGCAGCATTCCTGCTGGCTAGGTAAGTTTAAGAGAGGAAGAAATAGACCAGTGAAAGTTATTTTAATAAACAGTATCCCAGTTAAATATATACAGGCAGAGAAAAGATATTTGAGAAAGGAGGAAGAATACCATACAGTGTTTAATAGACAGGACATGCCTAAGGAGAGAATGGAGGCAGCAAAGAAACTCATAAAACAAAAGCAAATGAGAAACGCAAGACATGTAAGGTCAGAAAATGGCACAAACAGGCAGCTACACAATAATGGGAAGACAGCTACAGGAA